GTATGCTGGGGGGGCACTGAGAATGAGTGACACCACAACGCAGCGAGGAGCGTCACCAGAGTTACTGCAAAGGGGGGGAACTGTAGAAAACACCCAGCCGCCAATCACAGAATACAGAGACCTGCCTGTTGTCTAGGTAACGGCGCCTACAGAGGACCCCACTCTACACCCCACAACGTCCCAATAAATCAGCACCCCAATAAATCAGCGTCCCAATAAATCAGCGTCCCAATAAATCAGCACCCCAATAAATCAGCGTCCCAATAAATCAGCGTCCCAATAAATCAGCACCCCAATAAATCAGCGCCCCAATAAATCAGCGCCCCAATAAATCGACACCCCCAATAAATCCACACCCCCATTAAATCAACACCCCAATAAATCAACACCCCCAATAAATCGACACCCCAATAAATAAAGCGCCCCCAATAAATCAGCACCCCCCAATAAATCAACACCCCAAATAAATCAGCGCCCCAATAAATCAACACCCCTAATAAATCAGCACTCCAATAACCACCTCCAAAAAATTTGCACCCCCAATAAATATGCACCCCCCAATAAATCAGCGCCTCAATAAATCAACACCCCTCATAAATCAAAACCCCCAATAAATCAGCGCCCCAATAAATCAACGCCCCCAATAAATCAACACCCCCAATAAATCAGCACCCCAATAATTCAACACCAGGAATAAATCAGCGCCCCAATAAATCGACGCCCCTTCCCCCAATAAATCAGCACCCCAATAAATCAACGCCCCTCCCCCAATAAACCAGGACCCCAATAAATCAGAGCCCCAATAAATCAACACCCCCAATAAATCAAAACCCCCCCCCAATAAATCAGCACCCCCAATAAATAAACACCCCCAATAAATCAGCGCCCCAATAAATCAACGCCCCATATAAATCAACCCCCCCAATAAATAAGCACCCCAATAATTAAACACCCTGAATAAATCAGCACCCTAATAAATCAGCGCCCCTCCCCCCAATAAATCAGCACCCCAATAAATCAGCGCCCCAATAAATCAACGCCCCCTCCCCCCAATAAATCAACGCCCCCAATAAATCAGAGCCCCAATAAAACAGCACCCCAATAAATCAACGCTCCAATAAATCAGCACCCCAATAAATGAATGCCCCAATAAATCAGCACCCCAAAAAATCAACACCCCCAATAAATCAACACAACAATAAATCAACGCACAAATAAATCAGCACCCCAATAAATCAATGCCCCTCCCCCCAATAAATCAGCATCCCAATAAACACCCCTCCCAATAAATCAACACCCCCAATAAATCAGCACCCCAAAAAATCAACCCCCCCAATAAATCAACACCCCCAATAAATCAGCTCTCCAATAAATCAGCACCCCAACAAATCAGCTCCCCAATAAATCAGCACCCCGATAAATCAACACCCCCAATAAATCAGCACCCCAACACCAACCTTTGGGCCCAGCAGTATACAACCATGTAGTCATGTAGAGAGTAAAAGCGCTGAACGAAAGAGACAAATATTACTAATTAAATAAAAATAAATAAAATATATACAATATCATCAAAAATATAAATAAACATAAATATGAATAAATCAAATACTGAATAATCACAAACATGAACACAAATAAAACATGACAATAAATAAAATATACATAAATACAAGTAAAAATAAAAAATAAATAAAAACAACTATGAATAAAATATAAATAAACAAAATTAGAAATATAAATAAATAAGTCAAATATTGAATACACACAAATTTTGAACACAAATAAATAAATAAAACAAAAATTTAAATAAATGCAAATAAAAATATATAATATAAAATAAAACAACTATAAAAATAAAATATTAAAAAAAAAACCCTCACATTTGAAACATAAATAAATAAATCAAATATTGAATACACACAAATATGAAGACAAATAAATAAAACATGAATAGACACTAAATATGTTTTAAAAAATATGCTAATAAAAATAGAAAAAACTAACAAAAATAAAACCAACTATAAATGAAATATAAATAAACAAAATTTTAAACTATAAATAAATCAAATATGGAATGCACACAACTATGAACACATACAAATAAAATATAAATATAACTAAAATATAAATGAATGCAAATAAAAAAACCTAGAAATCGAATATGAATAAACACACATATATATATATATATCAAAGATTGCATATTTGAAACAAAATAAAATACGAACATAACTAAAATATAAATGAATGCAAATAAAAATTTTAAATAAATAAAAAGACAAATAAAAACAACAATAAATAAAATGTGAACAAAACAAATATGTATATATATATATAATAATTATATATATATTAATTATATATATATATATAAAATATTAAATATAGAATATAAGTGAATAAAAATGTAAAATAAATAAAAGACAAATAAAAAACAACTATAAATAAAAAATATGAATAAACATATATATATATATATACTATATATATACATATAAATCAAATACTGAATACACACAAACATGAACATAAAAAAAAATAAAATATGAACATAACTCAAATATAAATTAATGCAAAAAAAATTTAAAATACATAAAAGACAAATAAAAACAACTATAAATAAAATATGAATAAACAAATATATATATACAAATTAAGTATTGAATATAGAATATAAGTGAATGCAAATAAAAATTTAAAATAAATAAAAGACAAATAAAAACAACTATAAATAAAATATGAATAAATCAAATATTGAATACCCACAAACACGAACAGAAATAAATAAAATATGAACATAACTAGAAAATAAATAAATGCAAAAAAAAAAATATAAAATAAATAAAACGTAAATAAAAAAACAACTATAAATAAAATAGAAATGAACAAAATTATAAATATAAATAAATAAATAAAATAAAATTAATACAAATAAGAAAATAAATACAAGTGTTGTCCCGGGTAGAAGTGAACCCCTGGGGGGGGGGGGGGGGGGGGGGGGGGAGGAAAGGTCAGTCACAGAAATGGGAACCAAATAACTCCCCGCGTCACACATATCATGGCGGAGCCACTTCAGAAGCCATATTTATGAGGAAGAAGCCCAGACGGGCCGGCGATGGTGGCGAGGATCTATATATCTGGTGGACACAAGTCCCTCTCTAGGTCCCAGTTATAGGAGAACTTGAAAGGATCGATCCATAGAAGTCCTCACGGCACAAGAATCCCCAGAGCATGCTGGGTAAGCTGAGGACAATCACATGATTGATCCCTATACCACACCCCCACATCCACTTCTCGGGGTACAGAACTCCCCCTCGCCCGCACCATTCTTCTTCTTTGGGCGGATTCCTCCCCATCAATGGTGACGGATGTCTGTCTGTCGGAGACATTTCCCCCCCGGGACTCCAGGGACCCGATCCGCGACAGGAAGGTCATACCATACCATGAACACCCCCCATACCATGAACACCCCCCGAACACCCCCCATACCATGAACACCCCCCATACCATGAACACACCCCCCCTGAAAATCCCCCATACCATGAACACCCCCCCGAACACCCCCCTGAACACCCCCCATACCATGAACACCCTCCATATCATGAACACCCCCCCCGAACACCCCCCCATACCATGAACACCCCCCCCCAACACCCCCCCATACCATGAACACCCCCCCCATACCATGAACACCCCCCCCCGAACACCCCCCATACCATGAACACCCTCCATACCATGAACACCCCCGAACACCCCCCCATACCATGAACACCCCCCATACCATGAACACCCCCCCGAACACCCCCCATACCATGAACACACCCCATACCATGAACACCCCCCCGAACACCCCCCATACCATGAACACCCTCCATACCATGAACACCCCCGAACACCCCCCCATACCATGAACACCCCCCATACCATGAACACCCCCCATACCATGAACACCCCCCGAACACCCCCCCCCATACCATGAACACCCCCCATACCATGAACACCCTCCTGTCACAGACTGCCAGTGCCTCTCCTATCCCCCGCCATATCCCTCCACCCCTTCCTTCCCCCTTGCACATTCCGATGTCTGTGGAGCTTCCATGGACAGGGCTGGGCCGGCCATTGCCGAGGCAACCTAGCCGCGTCCCCACATGGTTTTTCAAAAGACCCGCACAGGAAGCAGCGCTCCTCTCTCTGTTCCTGTCCATGCTGCTGGAATCATCTTGCTCCCAGAAAGATGCTGGGAGGCTCGGGTGAGGGGACCGAGCCTCCCCAGCCATCCCCCCTGCGCACTCTGCAGACCCCCAAAAGGTCAGGACTGTAGCCCTCTGCAATACCCCAGGGTTGGGAGTCTCCACACCTCTGCATGAACCTTCTCCTCAAAGGTCAGACCCCACAGCTGAGACCCTGTAAGCCTGTCTACTGGGCACCCTTGCACCCTGTCCGCTGCTGAGTGCCCTAAGAGCTGCTGCTGAGGGACCCTGCACACTGTCCATGGCTGAGTGTCCCTGGAAGCTGTCTGCTGCTGAGTGCCCTGGGAGCTGCTGCTGTCTGCTGATCGCTGGTTGTCCCTGGAACGCTGACCGCTGGTCGTCCCTGTCTGGAGCCGCCTGCCGCTGAGGGTCTGCAAGCTGCTTACCGTGAGTGTCCTGAACTGTCCCCACTGTGTGCACCGACCACCCCGTGTCCTGAATTGTCCCCGTTGTGTGCATCGACCACCCGTGTCCTGAATTGTCCCCGCTGTGTGCACCGACCACCCGTGTCCTGAAAACTGTCCCCGCTGTTTGCACCGACCACCTGTGTCCTGAACTGTCCCTGTTGTGTGCACTGACCACCTGTGTGTCCTGAACTGTCCCCGCTGTGCGCACCGACCACCCGCGTCCTGAAAACTGTCCCTGTTTGTGTGCACCGACCACCTGTGTCCTGAACTGTCCCTGTTGTGTGCACTGACCACCTGTATCCTGAACTGCCCCTGCTGTGTGCACCGACCACCCGTGTTCTGAACTGTCCCCGCTGTGTGCACTGACCACCCGTGTTCTAAACTGTCCCCGGTGTGTGCACCGACCACTCGTGTCCTGAACTGTCCCCGCTGTGTGCACCGACCACCCGTGTTCCGAACTGCCCAGCTGTGTGCACCGACCACCCGTGTCCAAAAACTGTCCCTGTTGTGCGCACAGACCACCTGGGTTATTATGCACTGCCCTACTACACACCTAGACTACCCTTACTTGAACCTACCCGTTGAGTCCCCGTGAACCCAATGTCCCTAAAAGCTGGGTGGGAGCTGTGCTGAGGCCAGACTTCACAGCTAGAGTCCCGTTGAGTCCCCGAGACCCCTGCCCAGGGGTAGATTGCCGCCTGTTGCCCGAGGCCCCTGCCCAGGGGTAGATTGCCGCCTGTTGCCCGAGGCCCTGCCCAGGGGTAGATTGCCGCCTGTTGCCCGAGGCCCCTGCCCAGGGGTAGATTGCCGCCTGTTGCCCGAGGCCCCTGCCCAGGGGTAGGTTGCCGCCTGTTGCCCAGGTCTCCAATCCGCTGTCCATCCATGGAGGGAGCCGGCTGAGGCCCCAAGCCTAGGGGGGAGATTTGCCAGCCTGTCGCAGAAGACCCCCCGTGCCTGGAATCGTCCCTGGTTTGCGCACACATCAACCCAATAAAGCTTTGTGTGTTCCCTATCTTCTCCGTGTGCTCTGTCCTGCCTACGCTTCCGTTACACCTCCATACCATGAACACCCCCCCAAACACCCCCATACCATGAACACCCCCCCACCCGAACCCCCCCATACCATGAACAACGAAACCCCGAAACCCCCCCGAAAACACCCTTCATACAATGAACACCCCTCATAACAATGAACAACCCTCCATACTAATGGACACCCCTCATACCATGAAACACCTCCATACCATGAACACCCCTCATAACATGAACACCCTCCATACTATGGACACCCCTCATACCATGAAACACCCCCCATACCATGAACACCCCCCCGAACACCCTTCATACAATGAACACCCCACTCAAACATGAACACCCTCAATACTATGGACACCCCTCATACCATGACCACCCCCATTCAATGAACACCCCCCATACCCATGAAACACCCCCCATACCATGAACACCCTCCATACCATGAACACCCCCTCATACCATGAACACCCCTCCATACCATGAACACCCTCCATACCATGGACACCCCTCATACCATGAACACCTCCGTACCATGAACACCCTCCATACCATGAACACTCCTCATACCAAAAAACACCCTCCATACCCACCTCAAATGAACCCCCTCATACCATGAAACCACCCTCCATACCATGAACACCCTCCATATAAAAATACCATGAAACAACTCCATACCATGAACACCCTCCATACCATGAACACTCCTCATACCAAAACACCCCACATACCCATGACACCCCCAAAAACATACAACACAACATCCCCTCATAACCCATGAACAAAACCACCCTCCATACCCAATGAACACCTCAATACAATAACCATGAACACCCTCCATACCATGAACACCCTCCATACCATGAACACTCCTCATACCATAAAAAAAAACCCTCCATACCAAAAAGAACACTCCTCATACCAAAAAACACCCTCCATAACCATGGACACCCCCCATACCCATGGAAAAAAAAATAAAATAATACCATGAACACCCTCCAATATCCACCATGAACACCCCCCATACCATGAACACTCTTCATAATAAATGAATACCCTCCATACCATGAAAAACACCCCACAAATCATACCATAAATTATAAGTAAAAAAACAAAACCTCAGCGCTCAGGACTATCCCAATTTTACCATATTAAACCCCGTGAGATGCTGCTGTGCACAGGTACAAAAGACCCAAAAACTCTTTAACAATGAAAACCAATAATTAAAAACCCACATAATCAATTACAAAAACTCAGTGTAAAAAAACAAAAATGTACTAATAAAATTATATATAATAAAACCATATATAAATACTCTGTTGATACTTCGAAAGATATTATATAAAAATTATGAGTTATGAAAAAAACAAAAACAAAAAATCAAAAAATAATCCAAAAATTAAAACAAAGAAAAAATAACATTAAAGAACTAAATAAATAAAAATAAATAATAAATAATTTAAAATAAAAATTATAAACGTGACAAAATTAATAAAAAAAATTAAAATAACAAAAAAAAAAATTTTTTTCCAATAAACAATAAAAAATAATCAAAAAAAAAATAAAAATAGAAAACAAAAAAAATCACAAAAAAAAAGTTAAAAAAAAAAATAAAACATTAAAAAAAACCAAAAATGGTGAATCACACAAACCCCTTAAAAACAAAAAATAAAACTTTCAAAATGCTCCTGGACCCCCTTTAAACCTTTCAAAAAACCTCCAAGTGCACAATAAAATGTCAAAAATAAAAAAAATTAAAAAAAAACAAAAAAAAACAAAAAAATTACTCACTCTCAAAAAAATAAAAAAAATCAAAAAACCCAAAAAAAGAAAAAAAAACAAAAAAAAAAATAATCAAATACCGCAAAAAAAAAAAATTCTCCTAAATAAAAAAAAAAAAACAAAAATAACAAAAAAATATAGCACCGCTTTTTTATTTAAAACAACAGCAATTCTCTTAAAAACAAAAAACAAAAAAAAAAATCTTTCTAAAAACAAAAAAACCTCATGTAAAATAACCATTAAAAAATAAAAAATAAATAAACAAACATTCAAAACTAAAGTGTGCAGCAAAAAAAAACATAAACAAAAAAAAACAGAAAAAAAAAAAACTAAAAAAACTCATACAAACCAGGACAACACCATCGGCGTGCGCATCCACTCCACCGGAAATAAAAAAAAAAACCGACGGACCTCAAACCGGAAAAATCATCATAACAAAAAACAAAATAACAAAAACAAAAAAAACAAAATCAAACCCCATAACACACCTCAAACCATAAAATTCTATAAACCATGGACACCCCTCTACCATGAACACCTCAAATTCATACCATAACAAAAAAAAAAACACAAAAAACAAATTAAAAATTTATAACATAAAAAAAAAAAAAAAAAAAATACCATAACATCCTCAATACCATGGAAAAACCCCTCATACCAAAAAAAACCCCCCCATAACCATGAACACAATCCAAACCATGAAAAAGTCCTATACCATGAACACCCTCCATACCATGAACACCCCCCATACCATGGACAAAAAATCATACCAAAAAAAACACAATTCTCATACCAACAACACCCCCTAATACCATGAACACAAAAAAAAATACCATGAAACACTCCTCAATACATAATGAACATTCCTCATAAAATTATAAAAAAACCCCTTCAATAAATGAAATAAAAAAAATACCATGGACATATACCAAAAAAAAACCCCCCAAACCATGAACATGCTCCAAAAAATCTTTATAATAAAAAAAAATAAAATATAAAACACCTAATAAAAAAAGAAAAAAAAAATATTACCAAAATACTCTTATCAAACAAAACAAAAAAACAAAATAAAAAACATGCTCCATACCATGAAATAAAAATCCGTAAAAAATTAAAATTATAAAATAAATAAAATACAACCCCACTCATAAAATTATACACCCCCTCCCAAAAAATAAAAATAAATTTTTTTGGGGTGAATTTGTTTTTTTTGTTTTGTTTGGGTTGTGTTTATGTTTTTTTTTTGTATTGTTGTTTTATTTGGTTGTAAAAATTTTTTTGTGGGTTTTAGTTTGTTTATTTTTTATGTGTTTTTTTTTTTTTTGTGTTATTTGTATGGTGTGTTTTTTGGGGGTTTTTTTTGGGGGTTGGTATGGTGTGTTTATAGGTTGTTTTTTTGGGGTTTTTTTTTAAGGGGTTTTATTGAATGTGTGTTTTGGTGTATTATTTTTGGAGGTTTTATGTTTTGTTTTGAACTTGGGGGTTTTTTGTTTTTTTTTTTTTTAAAAAAATTAATTTTGTTTGTTTGTTGGATTTTATTTTTTGGGGTTTTTTTATGGTTCTTTTTTTAAATTTTTTGTTTGTAATTTTGTTTTTGGGTTGTTTTTTTTTTTTTTTTTTTAAAATGGGGTTTTTTGGGGGTTTTTTTTGTGTTTTTTGTTTAAAAAATTTTTGTGTTTTTTTTTTTTTTTTAGTTTGTGTAAAAATATTTTTTTGTTTTATTTTATTATGTATGGGGGTGTGGGTGTTGGTGGTTGTGGTTAATTTGTTTTTTTTTTTTTTTGGTTTTGTTATTTTTTTTTTTTTTTTTTTTTTTTTTTTTTTTTATTTTTTTTTTTTTTTTTAGTTTTTTTTTTTACTGTTTTTTTTTTGTTTGGGGTTATTTTTAAAATTTTTTTTTTTATTTTAAAAATTTAATTTTATGGGGTATTTTTTTATTTTTTATTTTATTTATGTTTTTTTTTTTTTTTTAAATTTTTGGTTTGTTTTTTTTTTTTGGGGTTAATATTTTTTTTTGTATTTTTGTTTTTAAAACATTAATTTAAATAAATACAATTTATTTTTTTTTTTTTTAATTAAAAAGAAAATTTTTTTTATAAATATAGTTTATTTAAATTTTTTTTTAATTTAAAAATAAAATTTTTTTTTTTGATAATTTTTTATAAAAAAAATGTTTTTAAATTTTATTTTTTATTTTTTTTTTAATATAATTATTTTTTTATTTTTAAATTTATGATTTTTTGTTTCTAGAAAAGGGGTTTTTTTTGAATTTTATAAATTTTATATAAAAATTTTTTTTTTTTTTTAAAATTAAAAAATTTTTTTTTTTTTTTATATTAAAAAATTATTTTTGTTTTAAATAATTTTTAAAATTGATAAAAATAATTTTTTTTTTTATAAACAAAATTTTAAAAAAAATTTTATTTAATATATAAATTTTTTTAATATTTAAAATAAATTTTTTAAATTAAAATTTTATAAATAAAAAAAAAAAAATTTTAAAATTTATTTTTTTTTTTTTTTTTTTAAAAAAATTTTAAAAAAAATAATTAAATAAACTAATATAAATAAAAAAAAATAAAAAATAAATAAAAAAAAAAAAATTATTTAAATTTATAATTATTTAAAAAAAAAAAAAAATTAAAAAAAAATTAAAATTATAAAAAATTAAAATTATAAATAAAAAAAAATTAATTTTAAAAAAAAAATTTTTATTTTTTTAAAAAAAAAATTTAAAATAAAAAACATAATAATAAATATAATTTTTTTTTTTTTTAT